TATATATATATATATTGTTTAAACATATGAGTACTTATTATGCTCTGTTGGTTACTTTTATAAATTCTCAAAGTATAGCAATATTTTGACTTTTCTTTCACGAAATACTTTTGTTTATAATATGCTTTCTACTCATTTTGGTAACTGTTTTTTTTTTTTTTTTGTCCTCTATTTTCTACTTGTGTTGTGTAAACTGATGCTTTCACATATGTGTTGTTTGACATGTTTATGCATGAGCTTTTGAATATCTATTTTCTTTCCAATGTTTACATCATCATATTAGTGTTTATTTATATGTAATAATATTTGGTGCATTTGCATACATTCCAGCCAATCCCGATGTATTCACATGTCTAACACCTAAAATTTTATTTTTCCCTTGTACCACCCAAAATTTTCAGATCTCATAAAAAATACCATGTTTTAACTTTAAAAAAGTGAAATGCAACTTTTCATGCATAGTTGAGCTGTTATTTATGTAAAAATTGAAGTTTTGGTATTGGAAATGTAACTACATGGGAATTGAATGGTAGTATGTAAATCTTCCATAATATTTACGCATTTATTTATTTTTTTTTTTTTTTTTCAGCTTGTAACACATAGGCAAGTTAAGGTACATGATTTGGTGCATCAATTGCATATTCTATTAAGGATATGTCATTTGGGGATGTATAATTTTCTCTATTACCTTATTTTGGCCTTCATTTTCATGACTTGTGTAACCTCGTATCATCTTGCATGGAATATCGTTGTATTTTTTCTATGCTCGAAGCAAGCATATATGTTGTCAGTTTTTCAAAATAGTTTTTTTCAATAAAAGTTTTGCAATCTTTATTTCTAGCTCTTTGTTCTGTGTTGTTGGATGAAGCACTTGAAGGAGTAAGAGAAGGCTTTTACAATCTCACTAGACTTTTTAGAGTAAGAGAAGATTCATGATTCAATCCATTCAGGATTCAGCAGTAATGATTTAAATGAATTAAAATTAATTAGAAGCAGGAGCATTTACATACATAACCTCCCAATTCCTATGTTCTTACCTATCTCCTTTTTTTTTTTTTTTAATACCACCAACATTTTCTGGAATGCATCAGGTCTATTGTGTGATAGAAATGCACCCCTTAGACTTGGAGGAAAATTTTATAAGATGATGGTGTGACCTGTAATGCTCTATGGCACAGAATGTTGGCCTTTAAAAGAGAAGCATAAAACAAAGTTATAAGTGTTGTTGAGATGAGAATATTTAGGTGGATGAGTTGCTTGACACTTAGAGACAAAAATACAAAACAAATCTATCCGGGAAAGGGTTGGTGTGGCTCCAGTTGCAGACAATATTATAGAGTCATCTTACATGGTTTGGTCACATTAAATGTCGATCATCTGATGATCTGGTTAGGAGAGTAGATGTTTCAGCTTCGACTTATGTTAAGGAAGGAAGAGGTAGACCAAAAAAGACTTGGAAATGTTGCATAAAAAATGATCTTAATCAATTAGAATTAAATGAAGATTTGACACTCCATAGGACACAATGGAGAAAAAGGATTCATGTAGCCGGCCCGACTTAGTGGGATAAAGGCTTGTAGTTGTTGTTGTTGTATGGTACCCAGATCTTTCATATCACGTAACAAATACCGCTAATTTTACTTTGAAAAAATTATATACACCTCTACAGAAATCTGTTATTTTTCTGATGTTTCCATTGAACAGGAGATGACCCTGGAAGAGTATGAGAAAGTAAAGGAGGAAAAAAGAAAAGCTTTGCTATCCATGAAGGTTGAAGAGCGCAAAGTTGAGATCGACAAGGAGTTACAGTCCATGCAGCAACTTTCTGTCAAGAAAGGAAACGAAGAAGTTTTTATCAAACTTGTACAACTCTAATTTCACACAATTTTTATTGGCAGTTTTCACCCAATTTAATTACTCTTATATGATAGAAGACAAAATTTTACAGGGTTCTGATAAAGACTCACCCAAACTAAGAGACAACTCTGAGAAAGAAGAGAGAGCCAGAAAGGTATGATTTAGTTTTATTTACATATCCTCTCATCTAAACTTTCATATTTACACGTAGCACTTAAATCTTTAATATCACACAAAACATAACACCTTTTCATGTTTAGTTTCAAGCATCATAAGTGTCACGAATGTAAATATGAATATTTAGTCATGAGATATGTACATACATAAGAATTGTGTGCTTCCTATTTAAATTTCCCTTTCATTTAATTAGTTTTACTTGTTTCATCACTTTCCATGCCTAACATTGCTGGAGTTATTATTGAACTTTGAAGGCTATAAACATCAATGAGTTTCTGAAGCCAGCTGAAGGAGGGAGATATTACGGTCCAGGTGGTGGTCGTGGCCGCGGAAGAGGCCGCGGTGATCGGGAATCGTTTGGGGGCGGTTACACCGGCGGCGCATCAGTGCCGCCGGCCATGCCCTCAATTGAAGATCAGGGACAGTTTCCGGCTCTCGGCGCGAAGTAAATTAACATGGCAACAGAACTTATATATGCTTTGATGAATCTTTTGTGTTGAACTTTTGAGCAAATTCTCTGGTGATCCATAACTTCTCAATCTGGATTTTTATAAACCAATATATTGTATTTCACGTTGATCCGAGGATTTTGCTTCTTTTTTTTCTTTTTTGTTCGAATTTAAGATTTGTTCCGGTTATTCAAGCTTTCGATGGATGTGGTGAATCAAATGCTGCAATTGCATTTAAATCCAGTTTTATGGTTTAATTGTTTTTTTAATTTACACGGCATGATTAAATCATTAAAAATTTAATAAAAATAAAAAAGAAAATTTAATGATGAGTTGAAATTTCAGAGGTTATGCAAGTAATTGTCCGCCGCTACTTTTAAATGAAAATCAATTTTGTTCAAATGATATGAAACATGGAAGCACATACAATATTTGTGCCAAATAATTTGTTATTTTACATTAAATAGAAGGAAAATTCAACTAAAGACAAAAGTGAAGATATAACAGCAAAAATCAAATGACTTCATTTTTTTTTTTTCAAATCTCTTTCTGATACATGAAATCAAATATAGCCGTTGAAAATAGAATAAAGCAGCAGAAGGCCTGAAATTACCCCCAGCATGCACCCATAAGTACAATCAATCTTGAACATCAACAGCGCATCAGACGGCCAAAATCAGTACACATAGTAAACAGGTTGAAACCGATTACTCGAGACAAAAAAACAGTGATATTTAAAATATTACATCAGAGAAGAAGACGAAGAATGCCCTTCCCCCCATCAAACATATATGGCCATTAATCTCTCATAACATACTCATCGCGCTGAAGCCATTGCTGTTGCTGATCTGTTCATGACTGCCAACTCCTTTAATCTTCTCATGGCGAGTGGCGTTGAAACGCAGTTTTGTTCTAGGAAAATATCGCCCTCCAGAATCCTCAGAACCTGCAAATTTTAATTGCCAAATTTGGCTTTTCAAGGTTTTATATGGTAGATTAAGAAATACTTTATCTTAAAAAAGATTCATTGAATTGCATATTTACCTGAGAAATATGAGGCCTGGAATTTGGGTCTCGATTAATGCATAGTGAAGCAGCATGCAGCATGCAAAACACCTCATGGTGGCTGTAGTTTTTTCTCAGCCGAGGGTCTAAGAGATCATCAATGGCATATTCCTTTAAAATTGGGCGAGCCTGTAAAAAAGCAAAACGAAAACTGAAAATAAAGCATAGTTTATGTTGAAAGATATATGCTGACCATGTAAGTTACAGAAAAACATGAAAAATAAGTTGATGATATTGCAGTATTTCTTTGATGGGTTGGTTGTGATTTGATTATGTTCTGATTTGATTATGATTACTAAAATGTTATATGAATAAATAATAAAATTTAAGTGTTAAGCATGTACAATGAATAAGTTAATAGATTTTTAATACAAAAGAACATGTAATATTCATGTAATTTTGGTAATTACAGAGCTCACCCATTCAGCTAGGCACTGCTGGCCTTTTGGTTTGTTAATATCCACTGCTCTCCTTCCAGTTACAAGTTCAAGCAGCACTATTCCAAAGGAATAAACATCTGCTTTCTCAGTAACTTGGCCACTCTGAGCATATTCTGGTGCCAAATACCTGGAAATTACCAAGCAATGCAATCTGTAATAATATCCGAAAGAAATTTACATATACCACCCAATTCCATGTATTTACATATAAATTGTAAGCTTTACTTTTTTACATTTATAGCACCAAAATCTTTAATGTCACGTAAAAAATAACATCATATTAACTTTTAAATGGTGAAATACTTCTTTTCATGTATAGGAAAGGTTTTATGAATGTGAAATTGAATTTTAGTGTTTGTATGTAAATGCCATAAGAATTAGTGGTATCTAAATCCTCCTAATTTTACATGAGCAATGAGACGAATGATGAAATTTTCATAGCCGGCGTACCCGAAGGTGCCTATCACTCGTGTCTTGACGGCGAGCTTCCCATCAGGTTGCCATCTTGCCAAGCCAAAATCTCCGACCTTGATGAAGCAAAATTGGAAACATGATGCATCAGAACTAAATAAATGCAGTAGTTTGAGACGTGTGTACATTAATCATCAAGAAGCACAAAATTTATGAAGGTTTCTTCAGAAAATGACTTGAAAAACCAGATTTTAGTATTATCAAGAAAGAAAAGACAACAATGCATGTATTACAATGGGATCATAGAAACAAACTCTATAGTTTATACATTGAAATTAATGAGAAAAAAAAAATTAAGAGGTTGCTTGGTTCCCTACATTAGAAGCATTAAAATAAATCAAATGATTATATTCTCAAAATTCTGACGTTTGGGTAGATGAAAATGGAATGCAATATTAAATTTTGTTGGATTTGCAATTCACCATACATTTCAAAACTCTTGTATTTCAAATTCATTAGATTTGCGTGAATTTCGAATAAACGGAAAATTACAGTTTATTGTCGCTGCCACTGTGGTCTGCCGCCATCACTTGCAGCCAGTCGCCTCCACCTGCAACCCACCTGTTGTGGTATATTGAAATAGAATAGAACGATCGACGACGAAGCGAAAAATAAAACGATAAAATTTACACCAGAAATTAACACAGCGGAACACACAGATTTACGTGGTTGGGTAAATTGACTACATTCACGGAGTTGGAGAGGATTTTACTGCTTGAGAAATTTACACCAATGGATCGTCTCCAATTACAAGAGCGAATTCTTTCTCTCACTTCCTCACTCTTCTCTCTTTAAACCGAGATACATCGAAGAAGAAAAATAACATACAAGAGAAAAACCTATTTCTCTTCTATCGCAAGCCAACAAAAAAAAATCAAGAAGCACATTCTTCTTCCACTATCTTTTTCTTCCTTCTGCCAAGCACGAGAAGAATCTTTCACGAACTGAAGGAGGTGTGGGCGGAGACGAGAGAGGAGTTCCTGTTTCGCGAGAGCCTTCTGATTTCGCGAACGAGAGATGCGAAGACGGGAGGAAGTAACCTACTTCACGAGAGACAGAGAGACGGAGATGGGAACCAATTCGCAAAAAACGGGGAGAACCAGGCGAAAAGGCGGAATAGAGCATTTTAGGCGGAAGCAGTCATAACAATATATTTTCCTTTTGTTTTACTTAACCGGACTCCACAAAATAAATCTCTCACTTGGAGACCGGTACACAGACTACATCTTCTTTCACAAACTGATATCCTTCACTGGCGACGTATCCTTTTTCTTCAAACATGAATATTGCACCTCTGCAACTCAAGGCCCATGTCTTCAAGCTAGAAGACCAACTGAAGTTGCGCACAACTTCAGTTTCTCCAGAATTAACACCCTTGGTCAACATATCAACAGGATTTTGGCTTCCACAAATTTTCTAAAACAACAACTATCTGTTATCCAACAATGACTGAATGAAGTAATACATGATCTGAATGTGCTTAGTCCTGGACTGAAATGTTGGATTCCTGGCAAGCTCTGACGGTCACTGTAGAGAATACCCTTTTTAATCATTCTTGCTCAACTCTTTCAAGAAGTCCTGTAGTCATATCATCTCCTTTGCAGTCTCTGACACTGTTATGTACTCAGCTTCTGTAGTTGACAGCAAAACTGTTTTCTGCAGATTAGAGCCTCATGATACTGCAGTGTCACTGAAAGTATAAATATAGCAATTAGTACTTCTTCTGGTATCAATGTCTCCAACTAGATCAGCATCAACATAGGCTCGTACCTCTGAACATTTTCCTAAGAAACACAAACAAGTTTCTGCAGAGCCTCTTAGGTACCTCAAGATCCACTTCACTGCTTCCCAATGTTCCTTTCCGTGATTACTCATGTATCTGCTAACAACTCTCATTGCATGGGCAATATCAAGTCTGGTGCAAACCATAGTATACTTAAGTGAACCAATAGCTAAAACATAAGGAATCTTGCTCATGTGATCTCGTTCCTCTTCTGACTTTGGTGACTGATTCTTGTTGAGTATGAAGTCACTTCCCAAGGGTGTGCCAACTGATTTAGCCTTATCCATATTGAACCTGCTAAGTACCTTTCTCACATACTCAGCCTGAGAGGAGAGAGTCTCAACATAGAGTCTCAACATGCCTCTGACTCTATCCCTGACAATTCTCATACCAAGGATTTGTTTTGCCGCTCTCAAGTCCTTCATTGCAAAGTGCTCTGACATCTACGCATTCAGATTATTGATCTCCTGAATACTAGCACCTACAATAAGCATATCATCCACGTACAGTAATAGAATGATATAAGAATTGTCAAAATACCTGACATAACAACAGTGATCTACCTGACATCTGTTGTACCATGCACTGTGTATGAAATTATCAAATTTCTTGTATCATTGTCTAAAAGTTTGCTTCAGGTCATACAAACTCTTTTTCAATCTGCAAACTGACTCTTCCTTTCCCTGTACCACAAACCCTTAAGATTAGTGCATGTAGATGTTTTCTTCAAAATCCTCATGAAGAAAGGTTGTGTTCACATCTAACTACTCAAGGAAGAGATCTTCAATAGCCACCATAGACAGTACCATTCTGATGGTTGTAAGCTTCACCACAGAAGAGAAAATTTTGGAATAATCAATACCGTGCATCTGCTGAAAATCTTTTACAACAAGTCTAGTCTTATACCTCTTACTGTCATCATGCTTAGTCTTCACCCGGTACACTCACTTATTGTGTAATACATTCTTTCCATATGGAAGATCTACTAACTCCAAAGTCTGATTTTCTAGCAGAGAATCCAACTCCTTTATGGTTAGCTCTCACTTGCTCAAATTTTCATCTTGCAATATTTCTTCATAACTCTGAGGTTCTCCACCATCTGTCAACAAAATGTAGTTCAAAATTGGAGAATAACGCTGTGGAGAAAATCTAGCCCTTTCTGACCTGCGAATTGCAATTGAGGTATAGACTGCTCTAAAACTGACTATGAAACAATAGGAGTAGATGCCCCGAATCTACTCTCCTCGTCACCTGCATCTCTGCCCTGCACTGTGCCCTTTTGTAAATCATCAAATCTTACCAACTCAGATTTTTGCAGCGCTGTTTCAAAAATTGTACTGGACTTGTTCTTGTACATAATCTTCTCATTGAAAATCACGTTCCTGCTCCTAATGATCTTCGGACCCTGATCATCCCAGAAATGATATTCAAATATCTTATCTTCATAGCCAATGAAATAACACTTCTTTAACTTAGCCTCAAGCATATTTCGAGCATCGGGATTAATGAGAATATAAGAAAGACAACCAAAAGTCTTTAGGTGAGAAAATTTTACCTCTTTCCCACTCTAGACTTCTTCAGGTAATTCACAGTTTAATGGAACAGATGACTCCCCTATTGATCAAATAAACTGCAGAGCTTAACGATTCTGCCCAGAAAATAGGTGGTAGTCTGGAGTGCAAACTCATGCTTATAGCCCGCTTATTAATGGTTTTGTTCATGCGCTCTGCAATACTATTTTGTTGTGGTGTCCCTGAAGTGGTATTCTCCATTCTGATGCCCTGAGTTGCACAGTACTCATTGAACCCATCAATGTACTCACCACCATTATCAGACCTCAAACATTTCAGTTTTAAGCATGTCTCTGTCTCAACTATGATCTTCCAAGTCTTGAATACACTGAATACATCAGATTTATACTTCAAGACATAAACTCATACATTTCTGCTATGATCATCAATGAATGTGACGTAGTAACGAGAGCCTCCAAGAGATGTTACTGGAGGACCCCACATATCTATGTGTATAAGCTTCCGCTTTCCTGCCTTTGGCATCCTGCCATCTTTCAAAAAACTGACCTTCCTCTGCTTTCCCATAATCCAACTCTCAAATATGTTGAAATCAACTGACTTCAGTTCTGGTAGCATACCTCTGGACTGAAGTTCTTTCATACTTCTCTGACTCATGTGGCGAAGTCTGCAATGTCACAACTCTGTTGCGCTCTCTACAACAGTAGTATCAACACTCTTAATTAAACCAGTAGTCATATACAATGTACATGTTTTCTTACACTGAACCAGTATCAGTGCTCCTTTAGCAACTTTTCAGGTGATATCTGAGAACACTACTGAATGTCCACACTCATCAAGCTGCCCAACATAAATGAGGTTCTTCGGTTCAGGAATGTGTCTGAGCTTTTGCAGAATTCACTTGTTTTAGTTAGAAAGTGCAATGTCAATATCTCTCATTCCTACCACGTTCAGAGTTTCTCTATGTGTCATATATACTTTCCCAAAATCACCTGCAACATAATTCTGCATCAAATCCCGATGAAAAATTGTATGGAAAGAAGCCCCTAAATTCAGTATCCAGTCATCAACAGAACTATGAACTGTCAGTAGTAATGCATCATGTAATTCTTCAGTTACCACATTTGCATTGTAATTCTCCTTCTTATGATTCCTGCAGTTCCTCTTTATGTGATCAGTTTTGCCATAATTCTTGCCACAATTCCAGCAAGTTACTTGTTTACCAAACCTTGACTTGCTCCTGCTTCTGTTCTTTGATTTTGATCTTCTCATGTTTGAGTTTTTGTCGTGTGATCTCCCTCTGGAATCAACATTTAGTGTTGAACTCGAACATGAGATCTAGTCAGAATCTTTCATGTGCACCTCCTTAGCCAAAATCAAATCACGAATATCTTCATATTTTAATTTTGATTTACCTACAGAATTATTGACAACCATTCTCATAGCTTACTAGCTATTTGACAATGAAGCCAATAAGATCAATGCACGTATCTTATTATCAAATACAATTTTCACAGAAGATAATTAATTTTTGATAATACCGAAATCATTCAGGTGTTGTACAACAGACGTACATTCTACCATCTTCAAATTGAACAACTTATTCAACAGATATACCTTATTATTCATCGATGGTTTTTCATACATACCTGACAGGACTGTCATAAGATCTGCAGTCGTCCTCACCTTGACAACGTTATGTGCAACGAACCTCCATAGAGTCAATCGAATAACCCACAAAACCTGTCGACTTGATTCATTCTTTAAGGTTTTTTCCCCAATAACGGAAGATGGAGTTTCTTCCCATAGAAGTAATCTTCTATCTGCATCCTTCAGTAACAAAAATCTGTGTTATCAAATTTCTCGATCCTTGAAACATTCACTTCATCTGCAGTCATTGGCTCTGATGTCAGATGTTGTGGTATATTTAAATAGAATAGAATGATCGACGACGAAACAAAAAATAAAATGATAAAATTCACACAAGAAATCAACACAGTGGAACACACAAATATACGTGGTTCGGCAAATTGCATACATCCACGGAGTTGCAGGGGATTTTACTACTTGAGAAATTCACATCAGTGAATCGTCTTTAATTATAAGAGCGAACTTTTTCTCTTACTTTTTCACTCTTCTCTCTCTAAATTGAGATACACCGAAGAAGAAGAAAAACGTACAAGAGAAAAACTTATTTCTCTTTGTCGCAAGCCAACAAGAAGAAATCAAGAACACCATTTTCTCCCACTATCTTCTTTTTCCTTCTGCCAAGCACGAGAAGAATCTTTCACGAACTAAAGGAGGCGTGGGCGGAGACGGAAGAGGAGTTCCTGTTTCACGAAAGACAAATCGTCGGGAGGTAAGCCTTCTGGTTTTGCGAACGAGAGAGGCGAAGACGGGAGGAAGTAACCTACTTCGCGAGAGACAGAGAGACGGGGATGGGAACCAATTCGCAAAAACGGGGAAAACCAGGCAGAAAGGCGAAATAGAGCATTTTAGGCGGAAGCAGTTATAGCAATATTTTTTTTTTTTCGTTTTACTTAACCGGACTCCACACATCACCACCAACCGTAAGAGGTCACAGGTCGCTGTCGCCGTAATTGTCGAACACGTTTTACATATAATTCGTTTTTCTTCAAACACAAATGTAAATTACTTCATTTAGTTTCCAAACCAAAAATTTCAAAGTATTGTATTCCTTTTATACTGCATTCTTTTTTTTTTTTCAGCAAATCAAATAAGCCCGAAGTATAAGCTCCTCTATATCAAAGAGAAGATGATACGCACCAGTGCATCAAAATCATGGGTGATGAGGATATTGTTTGGTCTCACATCCCTGTGAATTATGCAGCCAACTCTACACTCTTCATGAAGATATCTCAATCCTCTCGCAGCACCCACCGCAATTTTTTGTCTGGCATACCACTCCAACGGCCTTTGATTTGAATCTACAAAAATTAAAATCGACCAAATTATAAGCATAATATGAGTGGCATACCATTCCAACGGTTTGTTTTGAATCTTCAAACATTAAAATCCACCACGTTAGAAGCATAATATTTGCTGCCTACGCAATTTTGAGTTTGTTCATCCAATTCAAGCTGATTAAGTTGTTGTTTTTATTTTCTGAACAAATTTATCATTTACTTCAGAAAATAATTACAACAAGCATTCAATGCATAGTTTTTGCAACAATATGAAAGGCTAACTTTTAAACCGCGTTGATTTTCCGATCCTAATAATTTTTACTTCACCCACTCCCTTAACTACTGTAAGATTTATTTCAAGGTTGTGAAACTCAGACCGATTGTTGAGCCAGAAAAAAAGAGATCTAAAGTTCAACTATTCAAATGGAGTTAATATATATATATATATATATATATATATATATAATGATGTAACAATAATTTTTTATCAATGCAATATAATCTTTAAATTTAAGATACTTTCACTCTTAATAATTTGAATATAACGCTTATCAAACTTTATAACATGATATTCAATTATTTTCTCTATTTTTAATCTAAATCTTTTAATTTTAAACATTCAATCATAATCAAAAAGTTAAAAATTGATTAATATCAGAACCATACAATTCATCTAAAACATATTCAGTTCACCAATTCAAATATGAATTGGCCAGTCAGGCGCGGGAACAATTTTGAACTTAGATCGAACTTACAGGTATACCAATTCACAGTTAAACAGGTCAGCTCGGTCTGATTTTAGAACAAGAATATATTATCTATCTTACTCCATATGACAAGTTAACCTTGCACATGGTAACTACTTTAGTCCATGTGAATGATAATCAAACCATTCCCAAATTTAATATATGAGGTATAAATCTTCCAAACAAGAAAAATAATACATGTTGGTAGAGAAGAATACACATTTCAAATAATTACACAAACATAAAATACCATAAATTGTGTTCCAAAATAGCCCACTAAAAAAACCAAGCTGCATTTATGCGTAGAAAAATTACCATATAGATGAGAATCCAGAGATCCGTTGCATATATATTCATAAACCAACAGCCTTCTATTATCTTCGACACAGAAACCAATCAGCATCACAACATTTCGATGTTGAGCGCAGCTCAGAACTTCAACTTCAGAGCAGAACTCTTCATCTCCCTGAGAACTCGCCAGTTTGTGCTGCTTAATGGCAACCACCTGACCATCAGGCAAGATTCCTCTATGAACAGAGCCAAATCCACCCTCAGCCAAGAAGTTAGATTGAGAAAATCCATTAGTTGCAAGGTTCAGTTCGGCATAACTAAAAGATTTGGGAGGTTTTCCAAAAATAGGCGCCTTGTTCTTACAAATTGAACATAGAGGAGGATGTCCCAGAGGTGCGTTCCTTAACAAGGTAATAATAGATTCTCTGATATTCCTATTAGAGTCTGGAACTGATTTATGGCTCTTAGTGCTGCTTCCAGCTTTTAAGTCTAGATCAAAGAACTTGTACATCAAAGCTTTGTGAGTCAACGGTTGTACCAGTTTATTCAGTTTCTGTGAGAGTTCCTCAACTTCAAAAACTGGTTTCAGATCATTACTGAGAATTTGGGCTGCCCATGGTTGAAATCTTGAAGTTTGCAGAGCATCTGAACTTTCATTATCAGACTCAGAACTATTTAAATCAGTAAAAGCCTTCTTCTTTGTGATAAACATTGCATCTTTCACAAAATTGTCTTCTACTTTAGGGGCAGGAAGTGGCGAAGTTCCATGATCAGAGCTTGACTGTGACATGCTTCCTACTTCAGCAGTGCTAGAACGAGTCAAATCGGTGCCTTCAGCATGAAGATCTGAAGCAAGAATAGAAGACATTTCAGCTGCTTTATCCAACACAGAATGTGGCGAACTAGCCAAATGCTCTGTATCAGATATCCCAGAAAGATTAAGTCGAAGAATTTTAGGTTGAGAATGCTTCATAACCACGATATTGCATTGCAGCTCTTCCATGCATTTCTTCTCCTCGTTCTTCAGTTGTCTGTGCTCCAATGGTTGAGAGATTATGAAGAAGCCAAGAAATTACAGATAAAATTCTTTTAACAGGAAACAATTCAGTAATTAACGATTACCTGTCCATCACTACCCAGCTTGCTTGCACCCTCTTGGATTCAGCAGCCACTGCTCCACAAGGTGATCCAGATACAATCTTAAGCTTAAAATTTGCCTACAAGAGAACATAAAAGCATGGCAATTAAACAGAAATGTCAACAAATAATATACATAATAGTAATCAGCTGGACCAACCTTCTCCAAATTGTAGATTTTAGGAAGTTGAGTGATCATTTGGAAACAGGAATCTTGTATTTTAGACTCCTTGCTGTAAGTGTTGCCAGAAGTCTTTGAATTCCTATGGGTATTTACACAATTTCCTGATAGTTTAGGAAACCCCCAATGTCTTCTACCTAAATGATGAAGATATGACAAATTATTAATCGTTTAAATGGCAACAAATTAACAACCGGAATGAAAACCAGCTGGGCATGATATAAACTAAAAATTAGAACACATAAACAGTCTTATTAACAAGAAAAGTATAATAAAGTCCCGCTGTAGGATATTTATGCAATCGTCATACAAAAGCCAATATTTTTCAGCTGACATTGAAAGTAAAAAAAAACAATTTTGAGAAAATATTATTAGTATCTGTCAATTAATCCCGCAAAGGGCGTTAGAAAGTAAAATAGTTTCCACTTCAGTTGTGGATGATTACAAAAAACAAAAAGAACTCATCTTTACATCTTGCACGCCGCAATTCATCCAAAAGTCTGATAAAATGAATACAAAAACCAAAAAGAACTCATCTTTATAGCTTGCACACCGGAATTCATCCAAACATTGAAGGACAATCCAAGAAGGCACCACAAACCAAATCTAAGCTAAAGGATCCCTTTCTCAGTGCTAATAGTGCAGTTAACAAATAGCTTCACTTCGAGAAAAAGCAAAAACAAAGGTTTTAGAAGAATTAAAACCTGAACTGCGTGATGAAACCAGAACCAAAAGAGTTATTTGATCACAAGGCTGAACAACATGAGTCAGAGCCCACACCAACGCAGTCCTATGGACATCTTGCGAAGCTTTAACTGCAACCACAACTATCTTTCGATGAACAAGATCATCATGTTTCCTCCCCATCTTCTGATCCAAATTAGAACTCTCCATTGAATCCCTCACACCTCACCAAAAACTCATTCAAATCTCAAGCTTCGAAAATAAAGAGAATACAAGCCAAACAAGAGGCATAATAACCCCGTTCCTGAAAAAATGACATCTTGGTCCAGAGAAGGCAAGTGGAGAGAAAAGGCAAGTGGATGTAATCATACCTCCCACTGTTGTCCTCACTGTTCAAAATTAAACCAAACAGGAACCAGATCGTTAGTTTGATTAGGCAACAATAATTGCGAAGAAAGATATTCAGTCCTGTCTCAATCACTTCAAATAAAACTTGGCCTTCCTTTTTGCCCTCCTTTTCCTGGATCTCTTCACGTTCACCAAAACTTAAGACGAACAATGACAGAAACTAAGAAGCTAGAAAAACTTAAATGGCGATAGTTGGATTGAAACATTTAAGAGCTTGATGCATTAACTGCAAAATCCTTCGGATAAAACAAAATTAAATTTTTGATGAAACAACGTAAAACAAAATTTGACTGGAGACAAAAGACTAAAATCCAATTTTATTGATTCCTTCTCGGCTGCTGCTTCCCTTCTGCGGAGCTCGAGGACAAAGCTGCAGACTTGACGGTTCCATTTTGGCAGCTGATATTTGTCGATATTCGTGTTACTTATTTGCCCCTTCTGTCTGCATTATTTCGAATATAAGCCATCCACGTGTTTTACTATTAGGAAAACATATTCCTCGCGATTCGTGCCCAAATCTTATTCCAGGGTGCCGTAGATATGAGTGGTTCAGAATTTAATGCACGGGAATGATGGAAAGATCTTGGCCGTTTGATAGCGAATCTGTTTGATCCGACGACTGTGGTACAATCTAGGCCTTCCAAGAATCAATGAGGGTAGTTTCGTAAATAAGCTAATATTTTGATTGTGTGGCATTGTTTAAATTTGAAACCGAGAAAATTGAACCGGGCGGGGATCGGCGACATTAATTTCAAACCGGTCGAGAAGAACCGAGTTTTAAATCTCGATTATTATTAATTCAAACTTTAACCGATTTAAAAATAATGATGAAATTATAAGAGCGGCTCAGGGGTCATCATATGTATGTATATATATATATATATATATATATATATATGTATGATTTTACTAATTTATGGCATAATTTAAAAATAATACTTTTCTTCTTGACTGAGGGAAGCAATTATATGTTATCTTTCAAAAATGATATTGTAACATGCCCAATCATTCTTTTTTATGGAGAAGCAAAAAGGTCAAGAGGTTTATTTTAATTTTATTATTGATGATGTGTTTGACTTCCATCGAAAATCATGTGCATCTACATTAATGGCAATAATAGGCGATGAGGTCGACAGGTGTTGGTATGATGGTGTTGATGACATTCATTTGCTTAAGAAGCAATGTCATGCATCAGCTTTGTAAGTAATGAAAACCATCAGCAATGTGCATTGACCTTATAGGTCATAGCAACCACCAAACTCATAAGCAATAGTGTCAATCAAATGCATTTCATCAATTTATATGTGATGGTTGTTAGAAAATTCATGTTTCAACTTTATACACAAATTTCAAAAGAAAAGTACATAATAGCCAAGATCTTTTAAATTCATGATTTTTACATATGTAAAATAAAGTGATGCATACTTGTATTCATGATGAACAAATTTGATCTTGAAGAGATGAAGTTTCTCTCTCTAATCTCTTAAAACTTTCTGTATTTTCTGATGGAGAGAAATATACGAGGGAGTTTCTCTCTCTAATCCCTTGAAACTTTCTGTACTTTCTAATGAAAAGAAATGTATGGGGTGTAAGGGGTAGAGAGATGACCCATTCTCAAATTCATGCTCTATTTATCCACCATCCATCAAGGGGGTTACTAACCAATAGGATTTATGATAATTTAATAAATTAATTTATTTTTATTAATAAAATCAATGACATAAGTTAGTAACATTTATTTATTTTAGGGGTTATAAAGTTACAAAAATAAATATCATAAGTTATCATAAATTATGACATAAGTTATGAGTTAAGAAAATAAATAACTTAAGTTATCAAAATAAATATCATAAGTTGTCATAATTTATGACATAAGTAATGAGTTAAGAAAATTAATGGCTTAAGTTACCAAAATAAATATCATAAGTTGTCATAATTTATGACATAAGTTATGAGTTATGAAAATTAATAACTTAAGTTATCAAAAATAAATCTCATAAGTTATTAAAATAAATGTGAGTCATAAATAAAAATATAACATTCTCCCACTTGACTCACTTAATTTTAATAGTGCATTACATACTACAAGATAAATCCTTCTTTATATTGGTTAAATCATAAATTATTTAATAAGTATGAAATTAATATGAATCATGGCGGTTGTGCATCAATTTATCGACATAGTTTTCCATGTATCACGATATCAATTACATACTTAGCATAATGAGAATTAACATCATGATCTCATAATGTCTATTAAAAGACAAATCTTGTTGAAACATCATGCAACATAAAGTGTACACTAACGATAAAAACAAGATTTATAAATATCAGAAACAAGAAAAATTGGGCCCAAAATGTCAAAATATAAAGAGCATAAAACTAATAAAGGGTTTTGGTAATGCCCATTCTCACGACATGTTCGTTAAATGTCTTCGGTGACAATCCTTTTGTCAAAGGATCTGCAATCATGAGATTGGTGCTAAGACGAACCAAGCCACAAATTCAGCCTCAATAGTGGAAGCAGCTGTGATAGTCTGTTTCGCACTTTTCCATGAGATTGCTCCTTCAGCCAAAATGAACAAATAGCCAAATGTTGATTTTCTGGTATCAACACATCCAGCAAAATCTGAATCTGAATATCCTATCACTTCAAGATCTTTAAATCTTCTATAAGTGAGCATGTGGTCCTTTGTTCCTTGTAGATACCTCAAAACTTTCTTTGCAGCTTTCCAATGATCTATTCCTGGAATACTTTGATACATGCCCAGCATCCCGACAACAAAACTAATGTCTGGTCTGGTACAAGTTTGAGCATACATTAAGCTTCCAACAATAGATGCATAAGAATTTCTTCCATTTGTTTTTGTTCCAAATCATTCTTTGGACACTGCATAAAACTGAATTTATCTCCTTTCTGAATTGGAGCAACACTTGCTGAGCAACCTTCCATATTGAATCTCTTAAGAACTCTTTCGATATATGTTTTCTGAGACAGCCCTAACAATCCTTGTGATCTATCACGAAATATTTCAATTCCAATCACATAGGATGCCTCACTCATATCTTTCATCTCAAAGTTCTTAGAGAGAAAATTCTTGGTTTCATATAATAAGTCAAGATCATTAGTAGCCAACAAGATGTCATCAACATACAGAATAAGAAATATAATTTTGCTCCCACTGACCTTTAGATATATACACCGATCAACAATGTTTTCCTTAAATCCAAAGGACGTGATGGTATCATTAAACTTAAGATACCATTGTCGGGAAGCTTGCTTAAGTCCGTATATTGATTTCTTAAGTTTACACACCATG